GTTCACATTTCACCTATTATGTAAAACGTGCGTGTTTAGAAAGTTGGTTTGTTTGAGTCAGGATCCTAACACGGTTTTGAGGTCTTTTAAGACTTACATTAGTATTGTTTCTCTTTTCTTTTTCTTACACTTTTTTTCTTCATCTTTTTCTACTTCATCTCTTTAATGCTGTAGGGGAGGGGGATATGGCTTCCCTCATCCCTTCTGGGGTCTTTGAATGGGCAATGAATTAAATTGACATAAGACAGATCAACAGGAGAAAAACTACTTTAACTGTGTGCACAGGTACAGGAGTCCCGCAAAACACGAGACTCAAGGAAGGGCCAGATGACTGGAGTTTATACAGCGTCCTGAGCTACAGGAAGGAACAGAGCTGGGGCTTCTGGGGGTGGTGACAAGTTACAGGAGGGTGAATAAAGGTTGTCTTGTTATGCAGAAGGACAAATAGATCCAGAGGGTGGCTCCTTTCCCCAGAACAACCCCCCCCCTTTTTCTGGTGTGGAACTAAACAGAGACCACCTAATGAGAAGAGGCAAAAGGCTATTTACTCAGGGCTTGCAGGTAGCAGAGCCCTGTCTTCTCCACAGCGCAGGTTACTGGAGGGACACTGAGAGCACAGGCACCCGAAGCTGTCCTGGGATAGGCTCTGAGATCTGCCCTGTGCCTGGGGGTGTTTGCTGGGGTTCTGCGCTGTGTGGGAAGCCCGATCAGGTGGGGCAGGTGCACAGAAGCAGCTCTGGCCACGGTGCTTGTAGAAAGTAGAGGGAGGCTGTGGACGATGGTGCAGGATCTTGGAGAAGATGAAATGCAAAAATCATCCCATAGGACTGAGGAGCACTTGAGTGCCTGACTTTGGACTTGAGGGTCTCACCTCCCCACACGACAGCCTGATGAAGCCGGCACATGACTGTCAGCATATCTAGCTCTTTTCTACTTATTTGGTTTTGTGAAGTTTGTATGATTTTAATTTTAATTATTTTTGTTTCCGTCCATGTTTGCCACCATGAGTCTGAGGGATGGAAACCCTAATTCCAAATCAAACAACTATTATTTGAAATTTACAAAACTGGGTGTAGAAAAAATATGAATAAACTTTCAAATGAAAAGTTTTATGTTTGTAGCATTTATTTTTCTGAGGTGTAGGGGAGGAAAACCTTTTCCAATACTCTCTTAGTGAATTAAACTGACAAAAGACAGTTTAACAGAAGAAAACCTTGTATATTTTATTTGGTGTTAACTATTTTTTATTTCTTCTTCTTTTTTTTGGTGGTTGGCTGGTGAGGGGATCTAAACCAGTGTCATAGCGCCTCGCTCTAACCAACCGAGATAACTGGCCGTCCTGATGCTAAGTTTTTTTATAATGTGCATGGGGGCTTCACAGATGTTAAAACAAAAAAACAAAAAACATAAATAGTTAAAAAGCGTGGGGATGTATAGCCACTGTAACAACAGGTGGTACATTGTGGGACGGCAAATACATAAGGAAACATAACAGATAAGGGTCATTTAACAAGATTTATTTACTCAGATCCGCCTCAGTGCTGTCTCTGCCTTTGGTGACAGGATTGTTCTTGTGTGGGAGAGGGGGACACCTTCACAAGGAGGAATTTACATTCTCCTTCTAGGAAGACAGAGGGAAGGCACAGAGTTCTTCCTGTGTCTGCTTTTTCTCAGCTTCCTCCAGCTACAATAATCTTAATGTCAAAGTGGCATATTCTAGGGTGACGTATTCCGATCTCCTCCAGAGGTTATTGTTGAAGATCAACAAAGGCAGACACGAGTTAAAGGTGGTGAAGGCAGATGTCACGTGGGTCTACTGCAATAGGGGACAGAGGCCACCGTGCAGGACTGAGCTCCATTCTGAATATAGCAGGGTCCGCAGGGGGTTCATAGCCAATGAACACAGTGAGGCGGTAAGTGCATGGGACATCACTGAGAGGGGACATCAAGGGTAGGAGGCTTCGTGCTAAACTCACCAAACAGGATTCTTGTGAAGGACAGAACACAGACTTA